GCGGCTGGTCCCGGGTGTGTGAGTGTGAAGGAATTCCAAGCCGTGACCCCTGCGCAGGCATGGTGGATGGACTTTGCTCTTAATTGGAGATTCTTTGCACCTTTGGAGTGAGATTCAAAGAGGAAGGGATGTGGCATCGCAGTGTCAGGATGAGGTCAATGGGATTGTGGCCTGGGATTCCCACTGGTCAGTGCTCAAGCCCAGGGGCTGTTTATAAGCAGCTGGAAATGTGGATTATGACACCAAATCCCTATGGTGCCCTTGTTCTTTCTCAGAGTGAGGCCCCGGGGGCCAGACGGAGGCCTCTGCCGCTTGGGAAGGACGAGGAGGGCACTCAGGAGGGCAGCAAGAGGAGACGGTCCACTTGGAGCATCTGAAATTGGGCTGTAGGAAGCTGTAGGAATCTTCTCGTCATTCATGTCAGGACCACAGGCACCTTGAAATACCCTTTGGAAAGTCCAAGGTGTCATTGGGATTGGAACGTGGGGAGGGTCCTCATAGGCGGAGTAGGGCCGTGTGTGTTCTTTCCCATCACAGAGGGTGGTGTATTCAGGTGGCAGTAGAATCTTATGTAAAGCTAGTACTGGCATTGTGGTTTTAGGGAAATGTCACTAAGTCAGTCATGTCCCTACAAGGCCATGGAGGATCAGTGGCCAGCCTTCCCTGGCCCCTGGTCCTGTGGGGGGGAAGGCAAGTGCATTTGGAGTAGGCTTCTCGTTTGGTTTGAGGGGAGAGGTGGTTCTAGAACCCTGCCTCCCCTTTGCTACATGCTGTCTCCTCATTGCTTCCTCTTTTCTGCCTCCCTTGGCACTGACTACCTGGTCACTCCTTGCCGCTCTTCCTGTGATGGGTACTTGGCCTGGACCAAGGCTCGAAGTGCTTGGGCCAAAGGCAGGAGAGGCAAGGCCTCCACGGATGCTTGTTTCTCGGGCCTGGCTCTACACTGGGTGGGCTGTCAGGGAAGGCCCGAGCAGGTCCCTGATAACGGCCACTTCTGCTTTCTGCTCCTGTTGCTACCTCTGCTGCTGTGGGGGAAAACCTTGCAGAGAGATGTGGTCAGAGCTGGGCTGAAGGTCGGCCGGGGCGGGTCTGTCCATGGCAGCAGCACACAGGCAGGCAGGAAGTGGCCCGGTGCAGAAGCGGGAAGTGGCTGTTGTCAAACAGGAAGGGGGGGCTGGGCCACGTGAGGGGGCGGGAAATAGCCCAGTTGAAAGGTGGGTGGGAAGAGGGTCAGCCTCTGAAGGCCTCGGAACAGCGAGCACAGGGGTCCATGGAAGGAGGGGTGTCTCGAGGGAGAAGGCCATCTTTGGGACAAAAGCACCAGCTGGTGTGTTACCACCTCCGGATGCCCAGGCTGCTCCTGTGGACTGAGTCAGTTCAGTGGCTTCACCCCTTTTGGGGTTGTGATGCTGTGCTTCAGCCGGGACAGCCCTTGCCGTTGGGCAAGATACTCCACAAACCATATTTGTTCCTGAAATGCCACTGCTGCTGCTGGCATGGAGCCCTCTGCTTTTTTGCCCAGACAGGGCCCGGTCCCGGAGGGGACTCCAGGACGGGAGGTGTGTGGGGGACGGGGGCAGGAGACAACAGCAGGGAGCCTGGGGCGCTGGCCCACGGTGCACGGTGTAAGGACGCAGGGAGAGTATGGTAGGCAGAAACCCCATGGCTCATTGAGCAGAGCTTCTGGATGGCAGGACGCCACCGCCTCCAAGGATGAGGCCGAGGAAGAGGGGGGATCCCGTAGGCAGTGGCGCGGCTAGGCTGTCCTCTCTCTGAGAAGCCCCTGTTGCTCTCCTTTCCCCAGGGCAGGCCCCACCCAAAGCAGCAGCTTTGGTACTTCCAGCCCAGAGGGGATACCTCCCCCTCAGGAGGGCTGTGGCCAAGTCAGAGGGCTCTGCTGGTGTGCTGTGGACTCTGGCTGGACTCTGGGTCCGACTCGCTCAATGTCTTTGGATCAGGTTCTCCCCGTGTGCCAGGCACTGTACTGAGCATTTACCCAGTTACCGCATTTAATCTGCAGAGAGCCCTGCCTCCGTTTTCCAAGTGAGGAAACTTTTCCCCGGGATATGTGCCTGGCTCCTTTTGTCACCTCCTTCGGGTCCCAATCAAACGTCACTTCCTTGCTGAGGCTCTTCCATGACCGTCCTATTTAAATGTGTACTGTGCCTTTTCCCTGCTTTATTTTCCCACATTTTGCACTTGCCATGACATTTCCTGTGCCATCCCCTTCTTCTTGTCTGTCCCTCCCCCCCTCCCAGCCCAACTAGAATATCACCTCCACGAAGGCAGGGATTTTTGTCTTGTTTTGTTCACTGCTGTAGCTGTAGCGTTCAGAACAGTGTTTTTGAATGAATGAATGAGGCGCAGATGGATTTAATAACTCACCTGCCATAGCCGTGCTCGGACTCAACCCAGGGCTGTCTGACTCCAAAACTGTTGTGTTCATGGATGGAGTACACGCTAAGGATCAGCACAAAGACTAAGGAGCAGCCTGGGATTCAGAGAAGACATGGGGACTTGGCTCCTTGGAGACAGGGTTGAATTAAGTGGCTAACAAGGACCCTCTGGACGCTGGGCAGCTCCTTCGAGGAGCTGGAAGTCTGAATCTGTGTCTCTCCTCTCCCTGTTCTGAGTCACTGGTGAAGCCAGAGCACCCTTATTTTTAGTGCTGCTACTCTTGTGGGACTGTAACCATTAGCCAGTAAGAGACTTAAGGGAGGAGATAAACATTAATCTTCCAGGCCTTCCCCTCAGCAGCCACCTCCACATTGCAAGATGCTGTTCTCCTGCACCTGCCTGGGCAGCCAAGCCCAAGGGTTGTGGGTCAGAGGGTGGCGAGGTGAGTGGTCAGAGGGCGGAATCTTTGGGGCTGGCTAGCTTGGTACTTCCAGCCCAGTTCCAGGAGCTGGGAGGAAGGCGGGGTAGCCCTGGCATCTTCCCGGCCAGATCTGGAAGAAGCAAGCCCCCCTGCCACTGAGCAGGGCTAGCACTACTTCCTCAACTACCTCCAGGGTCTGCAGGTCCCTGGGACCGACGGATCCCAGGTGATGTGGGACTGTGGGGTCACCTGTGGTTCTCTGGCTGCATCCTGGTCAGTGCTAACGCCAAACTGAGGATGGAAAGAAGGACCTGACCCAGATCTTTGGGCAGCTGGGATGGATTAGCTGGGCAGCAGGAACTAATCTCTGTCTGTCCCCACCTCCTTCTTGCACAAAGCAGAGCTGTTGCTAAAGGGAAAGTTTAGGACAAAACGGGGGGTGATTGGTGAAACAACAAATGTGAATCGTTTTAGTCTATAATCCCTGTGTTATCTCAGACTACATCATTTTGGCAGGCCTGGGTTGGAATCCCAGTTCTTTCCCTTTCCTGCTGCAGGATCTCGGGCGAGTTATTTAACTTCTCTGGGCTTCAGTTTCATTGTCTGTGAAGAGGTGACTGTGATAGCACCTCCCTGGTAGGACGGTTGTGGGGGCCATAGGGAGCTCTACAGAGGCTCTTTGCTGTTGAGCTAGAGGTGGGGTGGACAGAAGCCCCTACCAAGGGAGGCAGGAATTGCTTGGCAGGTGTGGATGTGAAGGCACCTGCCCAGACCTGGAGAAATGCCTCCCAAAGCCCGGAGTCTTTACTAGCTGTCCTCACTTTATCCTGTCATCATTGCATAATGATGGAGAAAGGGCTCTAGGCTCAGACTGCCTGCATCCACTGCCTGGGACCTTGGGTGGGTTACTTCAACTTTTCAAGCCTCAGTTTCCTCATTTGTCATGTAGTGTTCATGACAAATGAAGTTCAAATGAACTGGAGTTCAAATGAACTGGACAAATGGCAAGGAGTTCATTAGATCCTTTACTTCACAGGGTCTCGGTGAGGGTGAAGGAAGATAACCCACGCCTCTGCCTGGCATATAGTGACTCCTCAGTAAATAATGGTTGTTACTACCATTGGTGTTATTGATAAACCAATACGAAGCCCCATCAAGGCAGGAACTCTAGGATAGGAAGCATCACTCAGAGAGGTCCCACCCTTTGAAGAGCTTGGGACCAAAAGATACTGGACATAATCTACGATGTGAAAATTCTAAGAAGTGCAGCAGAAGATGGGGGGATGCTCAGAGAGAGGAGAAGTCACATCTGCCAGGAAGAACAGGGAAGACTTTGTGAAGGAGGGGACTGTTGCAGCAGGTAGAGGGGGGAGGGCTGCTAGGCTGCCTTGCTTTGAGTGGTAGCATCCTCTCTTTCTACTTCCTGGAGCTCTGCCTTCCTGTGGAAGGAACCGACCAATGCAGCTTGCTTGTACCTGGGGACTCCTGGATTTGGGTCCTTTCACCAAAACGGAGTAACCCCAGTGCCTGAGTGCCAAGAGGTGAGCGCTCACAGCAGGGTGTGGCCAGGAGGATCCTGGGGAGAAGCAAAATTACTGCAAAGTGGACATGATAATAGTGCCAGCCTCATAGAGTGGTTATGAGAATAAATTAAAAGATGTTTGTACCTGGTGTCGAAGTAAGCTCTCGAGAAATGTTAGCTCTGCTTATCATTTTGTCAGATCATTATCATCTTCATCATCATCTTGGTTGTCAGCATCATTATGTTTCAGGGATACTGTGAAGACTAAATCAGAGAATATTTGCAAAATTCCTAGCACAGTACCTGGTCCTATAGTGGGTGTTCAATAAAACTTAGTTATCTCTATCAAGGAAGAGATTCTGGACGCCCTGGCCCAGTGAAATCCCTGCTGTAGTGAAAAGGGTACCAGAGTTGTAGTCGAAGACCTGGATTCAAGTCCTGACTCTGCCTCCCTAACTTGAGGGACTTTCCTAGGGCATTTCCTCATTTGAAAAAAGTCGTAATACCTGTCTCTAGGATTGCCGTGACTTGCTGCATTAATTCAGCAAATTAGTAAAAAGTGCATAGTTGGTGCCTAATAATTGAAGGACTATGAATAGCCAGGTGGCCACAAATAGAACGGATGGCTGATGGTTTTTGTTTTCTCTCTTCTGCTTTTAGATCACCAGAAACTAGAACGTGAGGCCCGGATATGCCGACTTTTGAAACATCCAAACATTGGTAAGCACCTTCGCTCGGGGTAATTCTTGGGCATCTGGTAGAAGGTAGGGAGAACAGAGATCCACTGCTTTTGTGTCTGAAACCAGTTCTGTCCCTGGATCTTTGCCTGGTGTAATTTTTTTTTTTTTTTTTTTTTTGTCCAAGTGGGATAGCAGGTGTGTCTTGCTCAGAACGCTGGGGCCTTCTGCTCTAGAGACCTGCGGGTCTCCATCCCCACGTTGCCATTTCAGGGCCAGGATAGGAGGTCCTAGAACAGGTTTCAGACTCCCTTTCTTCCCCTTCTCCTTCCGTCTTTGGGCTGAGGTCCAGGGCCTGCAGCGTGTGAGGCTCCGGGCTAGTAGCCTGCCAGCATCCCTCACCAGGGGCCTTCCATAGCCGTCATAAAAGGGTCCGGATTTTGTTTCTGGACTTGAAAGAGTTTTGTTCCTGTTACGGTGTCGTGCGCACTCTGGGGGTTTCCATGGTGCTCCTGTTTGTATTCCCCAGAGCCAGGAAAGCAAGCTGCCCACCCACCTGGCTTCTCTGGAGAAGGGAAGGCAGGAGCCACTCTCATGGGGAAGGAGAAAAAATTAAGAGGATTTCTCCCTGCTCCCACCCTGACTTGAGGGACAAGAGCACATTGTTGGTTGTCCTAAAGCCTGAGGAGGTTTGCCTGCCACAACCCACTCCAGCTCAGTTTTACATTGTTCAGCTGAAATAGTCTTTGCCAGAAGCGTTGGCCCTGATTTGGTGCTTCTCGCAGAGGGGATAGAAACGGGGCTGGCTGCAGTGTCTGAGCAGAAACCCCAGTCTTGACTTGAGGCAGAGCAGGGAGCATCTCCTAGGTTTTTCCCTGAAAGCCCTGAGTCATCACAAAGAAAAACACGTGTTCCTTGCTCCTCAGGCATGGCCTAAATATCGGGGCTCCCACAGTGCCCCGGAGGCGGCCTGCTCTGCTCTGTTGGCGGCCGGGGCTGGGAGGTGACTTGCTGAAGCCTGATGCTTCCTCTGGAGCTACCCAGCCTCTGGTCTGCCAGACCTTCGGCTGGAAAGCTTAACGTGAGCTCTTAACGTGGGAGAGCTGAGGTCGTACTCCAGCCCAAGGGGAGAGGAGTAGCTCTGAGCTAACCAGAACTCCAACCATGCAGGGTTTTACAGATCGCAATCAGCAGCTTGGATTACACCCGGAGCGGATTGACATAGCCAATGCTCAGCTCTGCTGGTGTGGTGTGTCCCACTGAGCCAACACCTCTCAGCTAATGGGTCCCAGGCTTAGAACTCCTGGAGCTCCCTGCGTGAGCTCCGAAGTCAGACGCTCACCTGCAAACAGCACAGTGGGGACCAACGTGTCACCTTGGGTAGGAGAGACAATGAGAGGAGCGCCAAGCAGCAGTCGCAAATTCGGGCGTGTTTTGTTTGGCCAGCTCAGTGGTCTAAAAATATTTTATTATTTGCCAGTATTTAAAAACAAGATTTTGCATTTGGGGGAACAAAAATTCTGTTTCCCAGTTTTGCGAATCAGACATTAGGGCTCTGCTGAGCCCGCATTTGTATGCGGCCAGAATCAGCTAGAGCTGGGCAGTGGCTGCCCCCCAAAGTCTACTGGCCAACCGTCCTTTGCCGACTCCCTTGTTAACCTTATGTTTGCACTGCCTACCTGGTCCCTGGAGGCTTTTGAGCTTGTGACCTCTAACCTAGAAGTTCCAGAACAGAAAGAAAAAGCATGTGGGTAACTAGAGTCATCCACAAGCACGGGAGCATTTTAATGTTCCAGTCCCAGGTCTCAGGATCTGAGGACGGCAACTTCCTTCCCTTATGCTACTCGTGACCAACTCGTAGAGTTGTTCTCATGCCAGGAGGAGCATAAAAGGTGGGGTGGGCGATGCAGGAGGCAGAACCACATCTGCATCGTCTGTAGCACAGACTTGATCGACCCTGGAAGGGTTGGGGTAAGATGAAGACAGTTGAGAAATGACCAGGAAAGACAAAAATGGGATTCTAGCTGAAAACAGTCGTACCCTTCTTTTTATGCCTTTCTAGAAATTAAATATATACTTTTGACCTTTTAGACCTCACTTGGTTTGGTAGCTCTTTCCTTTTTAATCACCTGCCCCCAGCTCGACCTAGGATCCTGGCAGTTGGGGGACCGCCTACCCTAATCATCTGCCCTGTTAGGGGCCCCGCGAGATCCAAGCCAGGCCAGGCCAGGCACACTCACTTCATCAGCATCTGATTGCCTAGAACTGTGCTTCATTTCACAACTGCTCCCAGATCCTGAGTGATGTTTTTCTGGGGCCTTATTCCGGGATCAAGAGCAGCGAGAGGGAAGGGTGAGTCAGGACTATGTCCTGGGAGAGCTGGCTGGCCGGGCTCTCTGGCTTCCGGTGGGAACCGGGCTCCTGGAGACGTGGTGGGGCGGTAGATCCAGGAGGCTGAGGTTGCCATGGATCCTGATCTGGCTTGTGGCAGAGAGGAGGCCGTTTTGTGCCCTAATTCACTATTCTTCCCCTCTCTTCGCTGCCCCGTCCTTCAGAGTTGTGGCGCCTTTGGCTCCAGCCTCTTTAACTCCATCCCACGGGGATACAAGTGGACCAGCCCAAGAGTGGCTCAGAGTTGAGGAAGCTGAGAACAGAGAATACATGGTCCCTCTCTGGCTGCTGTACTTGAACTCAGAAGAATTTTTGGTGCAAGGAGCCAGGCATCCCTGGTTTTCTTCCCTAATAGATATTCTATCCCAGGAGTTAAAAAGCCTGCTGGAAGAACGAATACTCATGTAAACTGCAGAGTCTGGGTGACAGCGATGTGTCAGTGTAGGTTCATCGATTGTAACAAATGTGTCAGGCTGGTAGGGCATGCTGATGGTAGGGGAGGCCATGTGTGTGGGGGCAGGTGGTATGTGGATGCTTTCTGGACTTCCTACTCAGTTTTGCTATGAACCCTAAACTCAAAAAAATAAAGTTTATTGGTGAAAAAAAAAAAAAAAGCCTGTTGGTTATGAGGCATTCTGCAGAACCTGAAACAGCTTTGGGAGAATGGCCAGAGGTGTGGAGTGAAGAGGAGGGGCCGGTAGTCGTCCTGTCTCCAGCCTGAATGGAGCATGTTCTACCTGTGATCTGCTTGCTCCCTGCTCTAAATTCCTCTAATGAATAGACTCTGTCTTCCTTCGTGCTGAGCTGCCCCAGCAGGTTCAATCACAGTCTGGCATGATGGTTTAGAGCAGTACTACTGAAACTTTTATGTGCTCAGGAATCACCAAGGGATCGCATGAAACTCGGGTCTGATTCAGAAGGTCTGGGGTGGACCTGAGCTTCCTCGGGAGTGTGGTCTCCAGGGGAGGCTCACACTGCCGGTCTGCGGGCCGTGTGCGGGGGAGCAGGGTGTGTGGCTTGGCGATCGTGTCGTCCAGGTTTGCGTGTGGGATTTGCTGGTCTGGAGCTGCAACCTCCAGCAGAATATTTAGCCTCTTCGTGGAGTTGTGAGAGGGTTCAGTGGGTAAAGGAGACCTCGGCTTGGAAAGAATGGAGGCCATGAAAACAGGATCTCCAGCTACCAGAAGTGACCTTCCCTAAATCCTCAGCCACAGCTCAGTTTGCAGGGTATTTAAGCCAGGCTGCCATTTATCTTGGACCCAGGCCCCATTCAGCTAACGCTAAATGGAGCAGAAACAGGGGCAAAGAAAAAGAAGAACACCTTGAATCCTGACCAAGCAGCTCCTAAATCTCTGCCTCGGGTAGTCCTGCCCACCTGCTCCTGGGGGGGCAGCCTCAGTCCCCCACTGGCCCCCAGGAAGCAGGACCTCCTTTCCATCGTGCTGTTGCTGCAGACACTTTTAACGGTGACACTTTCTCAGAGCTTTTTGAGCCAAGATTTGCTAGTTAAAATGTGGCATATTGTTGGGTGGTTTCTAAAGAACCGGAAATAGCCACCGCATTTGGGTTATGGCGTTGTTAGTCCTTGAAGGTATGAAACGTCAAGTGAAGGTATTTAGGTGTTTGGGCCGTTTTTCCCTCCACAGTTTTTAAAGAAAAAGTAACTAGTTTTATCGCTGAAATGCAGCAGATGCTTTATCATTCTTTTCCAGGTCTTTCTGTCTGTGGACTTGGTCTGGCCCTCCTTGGCCTTCAAGCCATATACTGTGGGATGGACTGAGTGTCAGGTTATTTTTTTCCCCACACATCCATAGCATCCTTCACTTCTACTTCGTAGCCCTTTCCGCAGTAGTGCGTAGTGACATATTTGTGTAAGTGCCGGTTTAAAGCCCGTCTTCCCCATTGACCCGGAAGCTCTGTGGCCACGCCTGCTTCTGGAAAGGCGTCTCATGGACACTGTTGGGCGGAACAGAGTGGCCAGAGCTAGTGGGGACAAGTTGGAGTTCCTTTGCCTAAGAGGACAGAGAAGGGGACTCCTTGCAGGCAATTCCACAGTATCAAGGATCTTGCTGTCAGTTTGTTTTGGGTTCAAGTCTCAGTTCGGCCACTTAGGATGACCTTGGATGAGTTCCTTTCGGGGCTTCGGTCTTCTCTCCTGTGAGATGGGGTTAACAGAGGTAACGTGAGAGCTCAATAAAATAACGTATGTAAAGCACTTAGCACAATGTCTAGCACACAGAAACAACTAAGTAGTGGTGCTCACTTGGGTCATTATTATCAAGATTCTGCTGGATAGGCACTTAGGGTGGCACAGTCAAGTTTTTCCTCTTGTTCTCAGTTCTCTTAATTTTCTTTACAAATGGAAAAAAAAAAAAAAAGATAGCATCTTGTTCAGCTATGAGGCCTTTTGCACCTGTCCCTTCTTGTCTCAGTGGTACCTTGCTCTGGGGCACACATCAAAGCCATTCTCTGAGCTGAGTGGCCTGGAAGGATTAATCTTCCACTGCGGCTCTTCTCTTCTGATTCCCCTGCCCTGCTTCCTCCCACCTGGGCTCTGTGTGTGGCCTTCCTGGAGAAGGGCAAGTGCCCATGCCTCCCCGCCTCGGCATAGGCCTGGGCACCTGGACTTTGTGCAGCACTCTCAGCCCCGCTGTGCGGGACGAGGGGGCAGGCCCAGGGGTGGGGGGCCGGCAGAGGCAGGGCCAGGGGGCAGGACTCCCCTGGGAGTGGTTGTTAGCATCCTACCTGCTCTACTGTTAGTCCCCTCCCTAATGAGGCTGGTCTTTAGCTTCTGGGACAGCTGATTTCCAGGGGATTATTTGTATTACACACTTTAATGCTTTTTAATAGCAAATTTTTAATTAAATGGAAAGTCCTTTTGGACACGAGGGAACGCAGCTACAGCAGGACTCTGTGCGCAGCACCGACTCAGACCAGAGAAGTGCACGTGGGGAGAGGGCTGGCAGGGCTTTGGGGGAGCTCACTTGAGCATGCCCGGGTTGATTAGGGTGGGAGGGAGGAATGGGTCTGGCTGTAGCTCCTTCCTTCTGTCATCTGGGGGCCTAGTGAAGTATGAGCTTGCTCGCCCAAGTACGGGAGACGGCAGTTGGAGGAGGAAGGATTTTTGAAGTACCCCCTGCCTTTGATCCCAATGGTAAATCACAGTTGGGGGTGGAATTTGGGGTAACCAGATCAGATCAAATAAAGCAGGCAGTAGGAAGTGTCAACAGTCAGTAGGCCCTCCATCTAGCCCTGGCAGGCCCGAGTCCTCATTTTTGTCAGCTGAGGAGAACCACGGAGCTGTAGGAATGGCCAAGTGCCTGTAATTTATGATCTTGCTGTGGTGGGAAAGGCTGTAGGGAAGCGCCCCAGCCCTGAGGAAACAGTCTGACACCGGAAATGGGACCTGTCGTGTGGGGCAGTTGGCAGGCTGGGTCCCGCCAAGGAAGAGACATGGTGACTCCTGTGTATCCGAGAACTTCACCGGCCAGCTTGGTGTCAGGCCCTTCCTAAAAGTGCTCTGTGAGGTGCTCCTGAAACTGCCCGGGGCTGGCGTGAAGGTCAGACAGAGGTTCCGTATCAGGAGGGTTCAGGTGAGGGACGGGACAGGGACAGCCTCGACAGACAGCCTGCCAAAGCATCGCCCTGTGTTTGCATGAGAATGGTACTCAGGGGTTGGCATTTAAGCCCGAGGTGGCTTTGTGGGCAGAAGCTTGAGGAGGAGACCTCAGAAGACATTAGGCTGGTTTTTTGCCCAGGAGCTCTGGAGGCGGGAAGTGGGAATGGATTCTGCCTGCAAGCCTTTGCCGGCAGCTGGTGAGCTGCCCCGCTCTGCTCGGTGCCCTGGCCTCCCAGACCAGTCCGTGTTGCTGCTGTAGGCATGCTCGTGGGTAGTCTCTCTCACAGGCCCCATTGCTCTGGTGCCTGGCTGTGTGGGCTACACCACATTTCTTAGAGGAAGCGGTGGGGTAGACCCGTCTGTGGAGGCAGAAAGAGCTGGCTTTACATCTTGACCTATTGCATCTTTGGCCTTCAGTAAGATACGATGTCTCTGAGCCCCCAGCGTCCTCATCTGTGGGATGGGAGGAATCCTCCTCTCGGGGTGGTCGTCCGGAAGAATCAACTCCTCAGGGACAGCCACTTTGTCCTTCCATCTAGCATGGAGTCCCACACGTAGCAGGCACTCAGTAAATCCTTGTAGAATAAGTCATGTCTGCAAAGAGCCTAACCCCAGGCCTGGCATATAAGAAGCGCCGAATAAACAGTGATTGTTGTCCTTGCTTGAGTCTGCATGTTGCCTCCCATGCTCACCATCCGTTAGCCTCACTCCCTGTGACTTCCCGCTGGGTGTTACCTTTCCCGCTTCTTCCCCACCCTTTAATTCCCTGTTTCCCATCTACTCCTGTGAAAGGGCTCTCGGGCCCTCTGGTCTTGTCATCCTCTGTCCCTCTGCGGTCAGCCTCCCTCGGCGCCCCTTGCTCTTGCCCTGCGTTACACCGTCATGCAGCAGATCCCAGGACCTCCTTCTTTGGGACTAGCCCCTCTGGGAAGGTTCCTGCTTCTCTCTGTCTTGTCTTCTTAGCCACAAAGCTTCTCTCTCTTGCCTACGTCTGAGGCGGTCTGAGGTGGCAGCTGGAGCACTGGACCCGGGGTCTGGTTGTTTCTCTGCTCTGCAGCCCTGTCACCTCGTCTTGGGGGTGGGGGTGACAGGCATGTCGCCGCTTCTCACTGCCACTCCTTCAGGAGATCGTCCAGGGAGGCTGGCAGGCTGGGGCAGGGGTGGGGTTGCTGAGGAGAGGAGTAGGTTTCCAAGGTTTCTCTCTGTTAATCTCTGTCCCCATCTCCTCTCTTGCAGTGCGCCTCCATGACAGTATTTCTGAAGAAGGGTTTCACTACCTCGTGTTTGACCTGTAAGTGCCACTTTCTGAGGGTGTGGGGGCCTTTCCCTTCAGCTGGCTCACCATGAAGGCTTGGAGAAAGACCTAAACTGGGTCTTCAGCCTCTGCCGAGGGCCCCCTCTCCTTTGCCTGAGGGAAAGGATTTGATTTTGACCTTCCTCTGGTAATGGGCAGGTTGCGGAGGGGACCTCGTTGCTCACTCACGGTCTCCCCAGGGCTCCAAACCCCCAGATGGCATTACTCTCGCATTTCTGTTCAGCAGCACACCTTGTGCAGATGCTTTTTTTTTTTTTTCTTGTTTCTTGTTGTGTTGTCCTTAGTGGAGAAATAGACTACAGCTCTTCGCATGACCTTAAAAATTCTGGGAAATTAAAGGTGGCTTTTATTAGTCATAAACTGGACTCCACTTGGTCTCTCCTCCACTTTGGTTGTGGTTAAATATCTCAAAAGTAGCTCTTCACCTCCTGGAAATGCCTCTCTGGTATTTTCAGGATTGGGTCTCTGTGTCCTTGATCTCATTATTCTTCAACTTTAGGAGTAGGTCTGTCCTTCTTGGGCAGCTGTGTATCTCAGTATTGATATTGGTCTCAAATAAAACTATGACTTTCTGAGTAGGTTGATAATTTTCTCTTAGATCCCTGTATATTCATCTTTGCCTGAGTATTAGCTAATCTGTAGATTATAGACACAGAAATGTGCAGGAGGAAGGGAGGGCCCACGTTACCCCAGGGAGAAGCCCCACGTCATTGAAGGATGGAACATGTTTGGGCTCTCAGATGGAATGCATGTGGAGTTGGGATTTCTTTAAAAGCTGTTCCGTGGTGTGACCTGTTGCCTCTTGGATGCTGGGATTGGCCAGCTGACCTGCTTCCTCTGACCCTCTCTGTCTGTTGGTTGCAGTGTTACCGGCGGGGAGCTGTTTGAAGACATCGTGGCCAGAGAGTACTACAGTGAAGCTGATGCCAGGTGAGACAAGGACCCTAGAGTTCTGGGTGAGTCTTGGCCACTTCAGGGGGACAGGCTTTGTGCCTGTTTGAAGAGTCTTTGGATATAGATCAGAAGATCTTCTGTCTGGACAAAGATTCCATAGAGCTGGACCTGGGCTGCATTTTTTGGGTGATGTTAAAAGTTAGAGCCGTCTTTTTTTTGGCAGAGGGGAAGCACTTGCAAGTCTCCTTTACCCTTTCACCCCAGAAATACCTTTTCTTTGCACTACTGTGTACTTGCAAGCCTGCCCAAGGGCCCTCCCTACCCCTGCTTCTTTCCTTTGACAAATTTTACTGTGTGCAAGGCACTCTGGGGATGATCCAGAGATGGAGAAAACGTGGTTTGTGTTCTGAAGGAGTGTAAACATCTGGGCTAATCAACCAGGAACCTTCTCAAAAGAGATTCCAGCCTGGATCCCTTAGTCTCTTGACCACCATGACCAGCCCTGGTGTGGGGCACCTCAGGCGGGAGGACCGTTCCTTGGCCACATCCCTCAGCCCTCAGCCCCCCGTGGCAGCCCTGGCAGAATTCTGCCCACACCGCAGCTCTCGGGTATTTGTGTGGCCTGTCCTTCCCGCCTTGGCTCCTCCCCCAGGCCCCGAGTTTTCTCCGAGGGTGATGTCCATGCAACCTGGTTTTGATCATCCTGCCTGCAGCTTATCTGGCATATGTGGCAGCTCTGGCTGCCTCTAGAGAGTGGGGGAGTGCAGCTTCCTCACAAATTTCTCAACCCTGAGAGGCCAGTGTTTGCTGATCAACTTCAGATGCTTCAGCCTCAGGAAAACTTCTCAAGTGGGGAGATGAATTCCAGTGCCGGCAGGGGAGGACCAGACCCTGGGGCAGGAGGAGGCGGTGACCGCCCTGGGAGCCTGGCGGGGAGGAGGGAGGGCTGGCCAGGGGGAGGGGAGGGGTGGTGTGTGACTGTACCAGTGGGCTTGGCCTGGCTCTGCTGGGACACTTCGCACTTTTGCCATTTTTGGCCAGAAGGCTCTCTCTGCTAGCCTGGCTCTGTTCTAATTATACATTTCTGTGGAGACTCGCCTCTTCAGCTCAGTCTTAAAGTCTCTTTGGCCTACTCATGGGCTGTGTTCTGAAGGGAGGCCTGAGCCTCAGCCTCCAGGAGCCTCGTAAGACCCGTTGGCTCTTGTGGAAGCCCCAGAATCAGATTTTAGAGAAGGAGTCAGAAGTCCGGGTCACCAGCCGAGCACCTCTCTGCAAGCCTGCTGCACGTACCTGCCGGTACCTGCTGACCGGGGCCTCATTCTCTAGGCCCGTGATCCTCAACTTCAACACCACTAACATTTGGGGCCAGATAATTTCTTGTTGTGAGGGCCACTCCTGTGCACTGTAGAGTTTTAGAAGTATCCCTGGCCTCTACCCACTGGATGCCGGTAGCATCTCCACCTTAACTGTGACAACCAGCAATGTCTCCAGGCATTACCAGATGTCCCCCAGTTTTCACCATTGCTCTAGATCGCCAATGCTCCCTGCCAGGAGTTTGACTGCAAGTGTGGCAGGATGTGTTGGAAGGTGGGCAGCCTGATTCAGGATGGCAGTGGGGGTGCCTGGCTGGCTCAGTTGGTGAGCATGCGACTCTTGATCTCAAGGTCGTGAGTTCAAGCCCCATATTGAGTTCAAACCCCGCACTGGGCGTGGAGCCTATCTAAGAAAAAAAGAAAGAAAAGAAATCGCAGCTGAAGGTGACCCGGGTTAGTTTTTTTTTTTTTTTTTTCTATGCAAAATCATTACCAGAAATGCTCTTCGGTTGCCCTGTTTGGAACCTTCTTAAGGACATCTTTTCTTGAAGGGGTCTGTGTACTGGGTTTTATCTCCCCTACTAGATGATAAAAAGAAAGAAAGAAATCGCAGCTGAAGGTGACCCGGGTTAGTTTTTTTTTTTTTTTTTTTCTATGCAAAATCATTACCAGAAATGCTCTTCGGTTGCCCTGTTTGGAACCTTCTTAAGGACATCTTTTCTTGAAGGGGTCTGTGTACTGGGTTTTATCTCCCCTACTAGATGATAAACTTCAAGGCAGGCACTAGGTCTTACTCATCTTTACAGTCTGTGTGGTACCAAGCACAGTGCCTGGAGATAGTCAGTCAATGTTTAAATAAATGAATGAGTGTGCCCCCCCAGCAAAACAACTGAGGTACAGTTGTACTATCCTTCCTAAGATGCCACCACAAACCTCTTCTCCAAGAACAGAGTTACTATAGGGGGAAGAAAAGAAGGAAGGGGTTGGATGGTCTCTATTGCTCAGGAGTGTCCCCAGTCTCTTGGAAATGGACTGGTGGTATTGGCCCTTTACCATCTAAGGAGGCATGGTGAACTCTGTGCTAGTCTGTCCTCTATCTAGTGTCTATCTGGTGTTCTCTATCTAGCCTTTATCTAGTGGGAGACCCTGGACAAACCACTTAATATGCCTGGCCCTCAGTTTATTCTTCTGTAAAGTAGGTTGAACTAGATGATGTCCAGAGTCCCAAGATTTTAGCTGTTGTTCGGTGATTTCCTTGTGACTCCGCAACCCAGAGTTCCATGCTTTCATCTGTAGTGTGTGGTCCTGGATGAGTGGCTGACATTCCTTCTCCTTGTGCTTTTGCAGCCACTGTATACATCAGATTCTGGAGAGTGTTAACCACATCCACCAGCATGACATCGTCCACAGGGACCTGAAGGTACTACCCAGGCTCCCCCTTTGCCTCCTGCTTGTGAAGCGTAGGCGCCACCTGGTGCCAGGTGGTGGGACTGCGGGGACCCAAACTAGGCTTCCCCAGGGCCAGAGGGTGGGTGGGTGCCTCACGAGGTCTTCTCTTCCTCATACAGCCTGAGAACCTGCTGCTGGCGAGTAAATGCAAGGGTGCCGCCGTCAAGCTGGCCGATTTTGGCCTAGCCATCGAAGTACAGGGAGAGCAGCAGGCTTGGTTTGGTAAGAGTGACCCTGTCTTCCTGGAATGTGGCCCCCGCCCTTCCTCCTCTTCCTGATCTGCTTTCCTCTTTCAGAACTAGAAGCCAGACCCTTCACGGTCCCCGTCTCCTCAGAGACTGGAGAAGGGGGTGGAGGGTACAGAGCGGCCCCTGGCCCTGGGCGACTCAGTGCAGTGAGTCTAGCTGTTGTCAGCACCGCATTCTTGCTGCCCCTGGGGAGAAATGGGAGTTCCTGGTAGGCACACGGACTTGCCCTCTGATTTTATTCTGGGCACTACAAGAAACCCAGCCTGTCATCTCTCGCTGCCCATGTGCTGAGAGCTTATATAGCAAAAACAGCAGGAACGAGGAGGGGCTTGGGGGGAAATTGCTGATGTGGTTTTAACGACAGAGAAAGTGGGTTCAGTGTGCCTCCGCCCTTTCTTCTGCTGCAGGTTTTGCTGGCACCCCAGGTTACTTGTCCCCTGAGGTCCTGAGGAAAGATCCCTATGGAAAGCCTGTGGATATCTGGGCCTGCGGTAAGCCCATTCCACACTCTCAGCTTTTTGGTGTTAAGGGCCCTCAACTTCCAGCGATGGTGAGAAAGAAGCATCGCTATTCCTTGTGGGCCCTACAAGTGTGGGGCGTGTGTGAAATCACGGTGTTTGCTCTAGTGTCCCGGGGATGGCTGTTCTCATCACACGCTCTGCCCCAAGTGTTTCCTGGGTTATACTGCATCCTTCCTAAAGAGGGATTGACCCACGCCTTAGAGGATGGGTTACGTCTAAAGAGGTCCCCGATGGGGCTCCGTGACTTGGGGAGTGAAGTACAGCATTATCAGCTGATGGCCACTTCAACCTCCGGTATAACCTTGACTTTCTGGGTGGCTGAGCCCTGGGTGGCTGAGCCCTGTGTGGCTTTTCTTGGTTCCTCAGTGAAGTCGGTGACTGACCCCGATGACCTGTGTTCTGTCTCGTAGGGGTCATCCTGTATATCCTCCTGGTGGGATACCCTCCCTTCTGGGATGAGGATCAGCACAAGTTGTATCAACAAATCAAGGCTGGGGCCTATGATGTAAGGACTGGTTTGTTCTTGACCCTCGGGCTGTATCCACAGGAGGGGGCATGTTTAGTGTGTCATGGGATACAGGGAGTGTCAAGGGACTTTGAGGACCCAAGGATGGGCATACAGGTCTCGATGCTTGCCACGCCGTATCCCAGGAGCAACTTTTTTTGCACAGCCTTTCTTGGTAGCTGTAAAATCGAGGAGCCCACCGAAGCTCTTTGATCCATTATTTGCAGAGAATGGCCTGAGAAGTGTGGTGTGCCACGTAACATAGGGACAAGAAGTGGCGTGGCTCCCCCCACTGCCGTGGGGCCTTGGGCACGTTGTGGAGCCGCCGTTTCCTTCTAGTAAGGAGATGGGGTTGAACCAGAATATGTTGGAGTCCCTGCTCTGACCGGATATTCTGGCGTTCTAACCGTGATTCTGTCTTCCTCGCCTGGTCTTTAAGTAGGCACAGGTACTGGGATGCCCCAGGGCTTCCCCAGCTCTCTGCCGGGCAGGTTTAGATAGCACGCGGTATCCTGCTTGTAGGAGTTGGGACAAAGACAGAGCCTCCGTTTCAGGGTGTGAGGCTCACAGATTTCATATGCCTCCTTTCCCTCTTCCTGCTTAGTTCCCATCGCCAGAGTGGGACACAGTGACTCCTGAAGCCAAGAACTTGATCAACCAGATGCTGACCATAAACCCTGCAAAGCGCATCACAGCTGACCAGGCTCTCAAGCATCCATGGGTCTGTGTAAGTGTCTTCACCCAGGGTGGAGGAGCTCAGGATGTCAGCCCTCAGTGTGCCCTCAGTACTCTCTTCACACTCCTGTTTATGAGCAGAGAATGATTGTTCTGGGCCCTGAGCAAGGACCCAGCAGAGAGGGAGGGATTCAAGGAAGGTGGCCTCGTTGGCTTCAACCTATCTCTCCCCCACTTACTTGTCAGATGTGACTTAGTTCTGAATGAGGGCTTTGGCTGACCCTTGAGACTCTAGGTAGCTGATGAGGGAAAGCAGCTCGCAGAACCTAAAGTGAACTGCCAAGCTTCAGGTGCATATTCAGATCTCAGCTGTCACAGCTGTAATGGAAATGTGACCAAGACCCAACAAATAAACAAAAGGGGCCTCTGGGCAGTTAAAAAGAGCATCTTGAAGTTCGTGACTGGAAAAAAAAAAAAACTCCCCCTAGACGAACCCCCCCCCCCCGCCCCGATCAGGCTGTCAGTGTGGATCACCATACTCTGTTTTCATAAACACTTCTGCAAAATTCTATAAAGTGAAATGTCTGTTTTCAAACTAAGAACAGGGTCTGCTACAGTTAGGCCTCCTGACAGCCACGATGCATTTATGTATTTGTCCTTTCCCACGTTTACTGAACGCCTCTTCAGTGCCAGTCGCTGCATGGGTCCTGGCGATACCAAGATGAGCGAGGCGTGGTCCCTCCCCTCAAAGATCTTAAAAATTATCTGGGAAGCTAGGCACTCAAACAGGCAACCATTCTGCAATGTGGCAAGTACATAAAAGGATCTAATGAGTGCACAGGAACTCTTGCCATCTGGTGAGCAATGAGATTACTGAAGGCTGCATGGAGGAGGTGACCCCTATCCTGGTTCTTGGCAAATGGCTGGGAGTTCCTCAGGATGATAACCTGCAGGCAGAGGTTAGCATGAGCCGGGGTGAAAGGCCATGGGAAATTGTGGCAAGTTGAAGGAATGTTAAGTAGTTTAGTTGTAGATGAAGATACGCCTACAAAAATGCAAGAGAATGAAGCCAAAAAGATTCCATGACATACAAGTTTCTGCCTAATGAGTTTGGATTTTATTCGGGAAGCATAGGGAACCATTTAAGGGGTTTAAAGAGGGAACAAAGGGGCGCCTGGCTGGCTCTGGCGGTGGAGCATGCAACTCTTGATCTCGGGGTTCTAAGTTCGAGACCTACGTTGGATGTAGAGATGGCTTAGAAAAAAAAAATAAAATCTTTTTTTTTTTTTAAGGTTTTATTAACTTATTTGACAGAGAGAGCGCACAAGCAGGGGAGAGTGGGAGTGGGAGAGGGAGAAGCAGCCTCCCTGATGAGCTCCCTAGCCCAATGCAGGGCTCAGTCCCAGGACCCTGGAGATCATGACTTGAGCCAAAGGCAGACGCTTAACTGACTGAGAGACCCAGGTGCCCCAAAAATAAAATCTTTTAAAAAAATGAATTAAAAACAAAGAGGGAATGAAATATCCAGTTAAGAAAGGTCACTTTGGAAGCTGTGTACAAAATGGAACTGAAAGGAAAGGAGGCTGGGGCAGAGAGCTCAGGAAGCTGTTGTAATTGCCCGAGCAAGACCGAATGAGGTCTCAGCTAAGGGTAGTGTTAGGAGCCTGGGTGGAATGGCAAGGAGTAGACAAATTTGAGAGATACTTGGTAGATAGGCTCAAAAGGATTTAGTGACCAGTTGAATTTAGAGAGTGAAAGAGAGCAAGGGACTTGTGGGGACTGCCAGATTTTGAGCTGGTAAGAAGCACGGAGTTGTGCCATTCACTGACTCAGAGGAAACCCAGAGGAAGAGCCAGTTTGTGAGAAAGGATGATGATCTTAGTTTGATTGAGTGTGGTGTCTGAGGACCTCTAGCTGGAGATATCAGATGGGTAGTCAGAAATGTGGTTCCAGAGATTAGAAAAGAAGTCAAAATTGGAAACGCAGGTTGCGGTCGTTTCTGTGTGGGTGGTGTTGAAATAAATGGGATTGTTTTTATGCTGATGGAATTCCCACTGTGGATTTGTATTTGCTTCAGTAAGAGAAGGGATGGCCACTGAACACCAGCATGGAAAGACAGGCTGAGTTAGAGGGGCCAGCAAAGGAGGCTGGGAATGAGAACTTCTGTGGCAGAAGGAGGTTCAGGAGCAGGAGACCCTAAGAAACAGGAGGTCTCAGTAAGGGAGCGTCTGTAATCAGATGCCACAGAGAGTCCCTGATAAAGATGGGAAAGAATCCATGGACTCTGACCAATTAAAAGCCAGTTTCATTATTTCACTGACAGAGGCAGTGGAGGGAGAGACCGAAACCTTTCTTCAGTGAGGATGAAGAGAGAAAGAAATGGTACTATAGAGAGAAGATGATGAGTCAGGAGTTTTTAAGTTTTTGTTTAAGGAGAGGCTTGAATATAGTGTTTAGACTGCAGAGACGAATATAGTCTAGAATAAGGGGTTTAAAATATTGACTCACTGAGGAAGCAAAGATTGGGATAGTAAAAAGAGGTTGAAAGCAAATGAAAATCACTTTGTGGACGGGGGTCTGAAGTCGAAGGAGTTCTTGCATGAGGATCTCTGATTTCTCTTTGTGGAGAAATTTATACTTTGGAGGAAGAGGTAAAATTATAAGACTCAGAAAAGGTAGAGGAGGTTGGGAGACTTGCTTTGGAAACCAGGAAAAGAAGTGGGCCAGGGGTGAGGAACAGGATTGTGGGGCAGCCCAATGGGGTTATGGGCACCAAGCTGCATGTTGTAGGATTTATCTTCCTAGCAGGCTAGCAAGGACAGCAACAGCTAAGGGAAGGGGTGAGCAACTTAAAACGGGTACTCAAAAACTAGGGATATACTATGTTCTGGGAGTCATTTTTGGAGTCCCCACCTTCCACCAACTTATATAACTCAGTAGCCCCTGAGGATGTCACTATATTATGATATTATGTAACAATTGATACTGAGTCATCAAGGAAATCATTGTAAATCATTTCCAGTGGACTCTTTAAGGAAGAAGGAAGTTACATTGCAGAAAAATTACCATCCAAAATGATGAAAAGAATGGATGCTTCAAGGTGAAGACCCTTAGCTTCTCAGATCACAGCTTTATTCAGGTCCTTGTGGGGGTGTGTTGAGAGGGGCTCTTGGAAGGAATGAACCTTCTCTGTAGAGAGCAGGAACCCTGCCTGTTCTCTCACTGCTCAGGAATGTGGTAGGTGCTAAGTAAACAGTTGCTGAAGGAGTGACTGCATGGGGATCACAACACACAGGATACTCTCTTCTGTTCCATAGCTTCCATTTCCCAAGGAAGGGGAGAGTGCTGTCTCACACACCCTCCTAATCTAGCATCAATTATCAGTGGTGTTTTTGTGTTCAGATTATTGTCCTTACATAACCTTGAGTTTGGGGTAGTGCTTTTATTCTAAAAGCATTTTCACATCTATGACTTCATTTTAGCTTTGGATCAACTCTGGGGCGGCTGAGCACACAGCCGTCAGTGCCGGGACTAGGGTGAGGGGCAGAGGGCCCGGCTGGAGGGCTCACAGGCCTGTCTGTTTGGCTTCCAGCAACGATCCACAGTGGCATCCATGATGCATCGTCAAGAGACTGTGGAGTGCTTGCGCAAGTTCAACGCTCGGAGAAAACTGAAGGTGAGTCTTGCTTTTCCAGGCTGCCAGCATCCTGAAATCACAGCTGTTGACAGTCCACCCCCTGCCCCATCACAAGAGGAAGCCCCCTTTGTGGCTGGAGCTGAGCTATGAAGGTTATACATGTTGGGGGGCCCCAAAGATCTGAGGTCTTGAAGTTCTGGCCAGTGGCTGCCCTCTGCCTAACACCAGGCTATGCTTTTCTAGAGTCCAGCTGAATTCACAGGCCCCTCTTCTTTCCCCCAGGGTGCCATCCTCACGACCATGCTTGTCTCCAGAAACTTTTCAGGTATGTTTCCCCACCTGTGCGCTTTAATTCTGCTGAGGTGAGTGGGTCAGAATGGGGTGTTGCCATCCCGGTGCTGGGTGTCTTAGGCAACACCTTGACCAAGATGAAGAAGACCCTGTTTTGAGGGGGCTGCTGCTGCTGGGTCCTATAACATGAGATTCTGGGGGACCTCTCTTGGGTTCACATTTATGAATTCTATTCCTTAGACCCTCCCGAGGAGTAACCTGCCCAGCCTCCCATTTACCTTGTCCCTGGGGATTCCTATTTAATTCTCTAAAGACTCTCAGCGCTTTAGGATTTTAGCCAGTTGATAGGGTATTGGACAATGGGCTGGGGAAAAGAAAGAAAGAGATGAGGTGTAGTGAATCTTCTCAACCACCACCATTAATTTGTCTACTGGGACGGTCTCTACTTCGTTGTGTCTAAATAGCAATGACTAATAGAAATTTTTCCAGATGTTTAATCATTTTCCAGAGACTGTGCTTATAATATGCTTTGCAATACTAGCTGTAAAAGGGAAGAAAGAGAGAGCAGCAGGATGGAGGGAAAGCAACTTGCTTAAATTTGACGGAAAAATTGGGATAGTTGGGACCAGTAATTTGTAAATCACTTGGTATTTTTTTTTAAGATGCAAGACACTCC